CCGAACATTTTACACACCTGAATAAAGTTGTGATACTATTGCTGAGATTGCGTCAAATATACCTGAACAGAACAGACCATATAATAATATATTTCTAACTGAATATATAGACGTGGTACATAGCATTTTATCAAGCAAATAAGGTGAAACCGAAGGGTCCTATGTTACAAAATTGCCATATTGCGAAACATTGGAAAAGAATGAACTGTGTTACGTTGCATTCACTCACAAAATAATAAACGAAACATGATTTTATATGTCGCGTTGCATGCTTTCTGATTGTTAATCGTTTCAGACAGTAGTGGAACACTCCAGCAAATTCATGTGTTTCAGTCTGATATTAATTTGTACTTTTCAATGAACAGGGGAAACATAATCTGATCCTGACAAAGTAGGACTGTGTAAAATTATAATCGGCAATTAGCTGGGTAAGGAATACGTTAGGTAAATTAAAACGTCAAATGAAAAGCTCGCAGCTCCGAAAATCCAAGCATTCTTGCAGGTATAACAACACGATGGCAAGCAGGAATCTGTCAATTAACTCACGATCGGAGGATACATCCACGTCTGACTGCGTTTGGTCAACCTCGGCTGCCTTGATAGCATCGTCCAGTCTTTGATCAAACCACTCTTTATACTGTCTATACTTAGTTTCCCCGAGTTGCTTTATACGTGGATCTGTTCATGTTTTGTCCAGGTTTTCATCACTCTGATTTCGTTTGCCCCGCATACGTTTCCACATACGTACATAAATGTGTCCTTTTGTGACGTTGTTGTACTTACCGATTTCAATGTTGTCCGGGAAAATGTTCTTAACCATCATGACCGATTCGCGAATGTCTTTCCACTTTTGTTCATTGGGGAACACGTTATCCAACCAGCTCATATCTGGCAGCACCTCTTTCCATTGTTCATATTTCTGTAATTGTTGAGACATTGGTCACGTTGGCTGATTTACGAAACTGTTAAGCTATTGTTTTGTATCGATAATCACCTTCTGTAAAGTTACTCCACTACCAACTGCACCACCCAACAACAGATATCGGACCTTCAGTGCTCCTCTCAGTACTCTCCCAATGAACATTGCGTATCCTCGATGAGGATTTCCATAGCAACGTATGTGGGGCGATGCGAGCAACGGCCTATAAGCCTTGTTCATTCTGCCTGACGTTAAATGCCTTATGCTAGACACAGGCACAGGGTATCTTGATGTCTTCGAAATGAGCACAATCCTGTCTCTGCAAAATGAAGTGCCTGATGTGTCGCAATTATGTATTACATACATACATACATGTATCACTACTTATATGTATATACTTATGTATACTTTTGTGCAGAAGTAATACAGAAATAATTATATTATTAAATCAAGAATTAGAGAAAGTCCATCATTGAATGGAAGGAAATTCTGTCAATTCAATAGAATTAAATTCTGATTAAATTCTCTAGGCTAAAACATAACCTTAGGTAGCTGCAAGAATAATCGGGACCCGTGCAACGGGAATACGTTATAAAATTTGACTGCTTGGATATTGCGTTCTTACCCAATTTTACCACAAAGAATTTGCTTCATTTTACAATCCCATTTGGACACTCAGCTATGAAAAAATAGTTGCTAAAATAAACCTCCTTGGGGCTAACATATATGTCATATATCAAATGAGTCCTGTAAAAATGTTCCTCTAAAACTCAAACGGGGCCAGCTCTATCAGTAATACATATTTTCGAACTTCAACCTAATCTAAACGATGCGAATGGACACACGACGAAAAGAAAGAAACAGATTTTGCAAGGCACATGCGTATAAATATATACGGCAATACCCTGCTTCCACCGAGTAGCATGGTTTCGATTTTAGTGTCCCACCAATCGGATAATCGGAGCGGCGAATGAGATCGCGACGAAGTAACGCTAGGTTATCTTCTAGATCAAGTTAGTAACATTGCTAGGGGGTTGAGCAGGTCGCAGTAGCTCTCTCTGTTGGCTAATGGAGGCAAAGGAATCGAAAGGGAGCGAGATGCTACTTCAGGGAGACCCTTTGCTCAACTCGATGTCCTTTCTAGATGGCTGGATAGTCTTTGTTCGATACTAACGCTAGGTGTCTCCAACTATCGAAATAGGCCAAGCACTCGACGATGTAAGTTTTGGGGGTGGTGGCTGAAAAGAGGAAATCGATCATTGCCTTTGCCTCATCCCCTGTCCAACGTGGACAACCACCCTTCGAGGGGTGAAGTTCAAGGATTTATCACGCGCATTCTCTTTCCTTTCCTCTAGGTTTAATTCTAGGTTTGTACTACCATCGTAATTGCAACAATTTTATCGCAAGTCTGTTTCATGATCATTTATTCAAGTGAATCCTTCCGTTTGAATGATTTATTCTTGTTGTTCACTTGAATGCCTGCGGTGTCGAGTGCGCGGGTTTCTCTCAGATTTCACCAATCGGACCGATCTCTGTTCTCTGCAGCTACGGAAGTTCTCTAACTTAAGAATTCGAATCGTCTAACCAACGTCGAAAAGCAAAATTGTAATTGTCATTATTGAAAAAAAAAAAAAAAAAAAA